CTACTATGAACCAATGTCACAATGTTATGCCTCTTTTTTTTAATCTAACAAGTTTGAGGCAATACAGTGTTAAATTTTGATTTATCTCTGTGAATTTAGAAGAAATGATGCAGAAACATTTGTGGTGTGGTCATGTTGGATAGTGACGAAGTATATGTTTAAATTTAGTCTTTTTGTTATATGTTGTAAGATTTTTCTGGAGAAAAGACCTTACACTTTGCATGGGTTTGCAAAACTAGGAAAAAAATGCCTCCAGTTAAAAACTATGACTGAAAAGGTTCAGCAGATTATTCATGCGTACTCTTTATATTTATTAATGATTTTAGCTCTGTTCATATACAAGCTCTTCTTTTATGCAGATGATGTTGCTTTGATATCATTGCATAAGGATTATATTGAATTACTACAAACGCTTCATGATTTGCATGTGAAGATGGAAATGAGAGAGAACATTAAATATTACATGACTGATGGAGAGTTCAAGTGACTTCAAAATGATCCAAAAACCCCTGACCTCCGGGGAACATTAGTGTTAAACGTGCATGCCTGATGCAGCTGCAGTTAGAGGATGGGTAGATTACTGACTTCAACCCCATGGGTATGGATTTTCATTTCTTCTAATTTCAAATGGCTTGGCATGCTTACACAAGGCACTATATTCCCAGGCAGAGCTAATTATCATTGCCTGAGAAAATATCAAATGGAGTTTGGTAGGATTGCGTAACAGTAGTTGGAAAGAGGTCAAAATGACAGGAAAAAAGGATCAAAGCAAAACTCTTGTTACCATGACATCAAGCTGCAGTACAGCCTGGAGGATACATCCCTGAGGTCCATGACCCCCCACACAAACCGTGTTATAAAGGGCTGAGTTTTATTTTTTATTTAATTTTATTTTTTTATGAAAGTGTTGTTAAATAAAGTGATTTTATAGATAATTTTAGCTGTGACCTGTAATGAAGGTGTTATATGATGTGTTTGAAATGTTAGCAGCCATGTGTTTTCTGATAAGTCTATCCTCTATAGGACAAATTAGGCAGGTGATCATATAAACTTATTGAATTAGCACCATATGTTTGTGCAGAAACAATATGCCAAAGACAACCTGAACACTTCATCTCTTCTGATTCTGCAGTGCACAGCAGGCACCCTTGGGCAATGTGACAAAGCGCGTGGTTTACGTTAGTGTTGACATCACCATATGCCTCGTAGCTACACAGAGGGGGGTGGATCTGGGAGAGATCAAAGAGAGGAGGGAGGGAGCAAGGTTAGAACAGCAATAAAGCTTACAGGGGAGATGAAGGGTGTGAGGAATGAAAGAGCAGAAGTGCAATGGAGGAGAGGAAAATGAAAATCACAGGTAAGAATTTCCTTATAACCTGCTTGGAGGCAGGTTGAGAAGGAAGACTGATGACAAAAGAAAACAAAGAGGGAAGAGGTGAGGGATCAAAGTCTCTGTACATGGTAAAAAGTCATACATAAGCCTTGACCCTGGTAATCTAGCATAAAATCCTTTTTATATCTATTAAAACTGAGGGTTTTTCCTATAGAGGGTCTTCAGATTCCTGAGTAAAGCCCAGTTCAGTTACTGGACTTTGATGCTTGTGCCTGACCTCCCACTTGCCTCTTCTAGTCTTCTTTCCTCTCGAGTGTCAGTCTCGATCTGAACTTGTAGGACTGTTTTGAGTGAACCCAGAATAAAAACATATTTTACTCAAATAACACCCCAGTTAGGCCTCACTAGGCTCGACCATACTGCCATTTCAAGAAGTGATATCAATTTAAAATATAACATTTAAACATCATTCTGCCAACTTAGATCAAACCTTAAACATACTCTTTTTAAGGTCACTAGTATGAAAATGTAAATGAAGCCACCATCACTTAGAATAATGCAGGTTATTTCAATGACATGAGATAGGCCATGATACCAGCAACCTCCTGGAGGAGTCAGACAGTCTGGGCTAGCTTCTGGCTGTGACTAATCACAGAATGAAACCAATTAGTGAGTTTTAATCCTTCAAAGGACATTCTGGGGTTGATCAAATACAGTATTCAATTAAGACAAGACAGTATAAAGCAAAACTGCACAAAAATAACTATCTTTGTGTCTGGGAAAACAGCAGAAGTTGGCGTGATGGAACAGAGCAGTGTCTGTATTTTACCTCACATGATTTACTTGATCATGTTGTGCCTCTTTTGCTTTTGCACAGCTGTAATATGTGAATGATCACACTTCAGGACAGCAGTGTGATAATACAGTCTGGATAAGTCCTTAAATTCATGCATCCACCCGTTTTCTCACTTATATCAAGAGTCTGATCAGAGTGGCTGCAGAAGAGGCAATCCCTCTGACGCCCTCCTCATCAGCAGTGTTTTCCAGCTCCTCATAATCCCTCTACCAGGGTCCAGGTCTACTTTAGGGTTTGCTCTCAGGTAGAGATGCTCAGAAGACCTCTAAAGCAAGGCGTTCTAATCAAATGCCCAGACAACCTCAGCTGGCTCCTCTCGATTGGAAGGAGTGGCAGCTTTACTCCGAGCGCCTTATGGATGTCTGAGCTCCTGACCTTATCTCTTTGGCCGGGCCCAGACACCTTTTGGGGGAAACTAAATTTATCGGCTTTTATCCACAATATTTCATAATACATACACAAGCACAGAGCTCTGACCATGATAGGTAAGGGTGAGATAGTACATCCACTGATAAACACTCTTGATTGTGAAGAGATATATCTCTCTTGTATATGTTTAACATTGTACTTGCTCTTAAATAGGAAGAAGTCAAGACAAACATCAGCAAGTAGAACAGACAAGGGAGAGAAAAGAAGTGGGAAGCAGGGTGGTAGCTTTCCGTCCCAGGAGGGTGCAGTGGTGAGGACGAAATGACAGACATCTTGGAGGAACGATTTTGGTCCGTATGTTGCCTGTCAGGCAACAAAGCTTTGCCCTGTTGCACACACACCCAGGAGAACAGAGATTTATAACAGAGCTGCTCTGAACATGGAGAGCGTGCACACAAACACTCATAGTCACCCACAAAGTGGAGACACACACAGTCTCACTCACGCATAGAAAACCGCACACACAGGGGAGAGGGGATTTACAGCTGAAATGTTGTGAACACGGGGCATCTTCTGGAACTCACATATGGCTTATTTTTAATCCAGAGTGCTACATAACACTGACGCCATTTCGACCAGTTTTGTATAAAGCCTGTTCACAGCCTTTACATGAGTCCTGCTACAAATTTGACTCTTTATCCAACAAAGAGGGGTTTTAGTGTTATGACACTATGAAGGCATGTGGTCTTTCTAACACAGACTCACTACAAATGTGTCATGACATGGTCAGTGATCTTAAGCTTTAAAATACGACCTTCAGGTATTTCTTCAGTGTCAGTTTTTCCACTGGGCTCCCACTGGGCTTAGCACTCCATTTGGATTGGATTTCAAACAGTATCATTGCCAACTACACATACTGGACCTGCATAACAAACCCTATACTATACAAATAAAGTTTGCTGCTGTACCTGACAACTTAGCATCAAGGACCCACTAGGTTTGTGAAACTTCTTGATATATTCAGACAACACAGGATGAGATAAAAGGGCCATTCAGTCAGTTTACTTCACTCACACACTTTATGGGGCGTTCACACCAAGCGTGAGTCAAATCATCTACTCGCTTAATTCACGCCTATTTAGATACATGATTGAAAAATATGTACTTGCTTCATTTGTGTGAGTGAATTGTCAACAGAGTGCTAAAAGCCGTGGATAGCTGTTTATGCTAATTTCAACAGTGACCCTTGCCAATTCAACTGCCGGGCTCAACTGATAGACAATGGTTTTTCACAATTTACCAGATAATCCTGCCTCCTCACTCACTTTCCTCCAGGCAAGCTCTTTTTTATTCCTGTTTTCATTAAAAGCCGTGGATAGAAAAGAGAGGGCAAGAGTCTCCATCGGGCATGGTAGAGTGAACTACGTTCAGCAGATTGCTGCTTTGTTTATGTTGTGGAAGGCCCATAACTGTCCAAGGTGTAGGTGCTGCCATGTTCAGGTCTTCTCCAATAGCTGCGCCCGAATGACAGCCATTTCCAGCGGTATTTTTAGGTTACCCGAACCCAAGTTGACGACTTGTTGGTGAAGGTCGGTGCCAGGGTATCCTTCCAGGATACCAATTACAGGCACTCTATCCAAGCTGCAGAGTGCCTGTCCATCTGTCTACTGTAAGTAAGATGTTCACCAGTGAACATCTTCTGGTCCGTTTTCATGTGTCACCCAGGAATCGTTGTGCTGATTGATTATCCTCAAGTTAAGATATTTTCAACTCCCACAAATTCGCGTCCACTCAATTTGCGCAAATAACTCCTGAGTAATACGAGCGTTTCATTACATCTTTGCATAGACTCAAAATGTAATTCATCAACATGAATGAGTTCACTCGCACTTGATGTCAACGCCCCATTAGAAATGTCAAAATAAGTAGAGTCTGGGGTCAACTGGTCAGAGGTTTTCAGAGTCTGTCAACAACAACATTGATGAACTACAGGCAACTACAGAGGAGCTCTCGCACCATGCACAAGCAACCACTGGTCTGTTGTTCTTTTATGCCAGTAAACGTTGTGTGTTTGATGGCTGTGAAATAGGTGAATAGTACGGTGGCCCTGAAGTGAAAAACACAACAACATTTTGCAAAACACAAAAACATTTTGCAAAAAACAAAAACATTTCCCAAAACACAACATTTCTCAAAACACAAATACATTTCGAAAACACATTTTGTGAAACACAAAATACATTTTACAATAAACATCTTACTGCTCAGTCATATATAGCTCAAAGCTTAAGTGTCTGCTTTGGATGTGGGAAACAGGGTTCGCCTCCTGGTCTGGGATATGCTTTATCCTTGGGCCGAGGCTGCATATCTGCTTTAGTTCTTGAAAATAAAGATCCCCAGTGAGGGAGGACCTGGATATTTAATATTTCCAATTGTTTTTCATCAATCAGATTTCCTTTGTTGACACTTGTAATCCTTGCACATTTTTTCATAATCGTAGTTTAATGTTTGTTGAATTTGAAGGCAAATGCTGCCGCTCACTATTTCAGTTGAGCCCATGGCAAGCAGCGCTACAAATCCGGTGACGCCATTCAGCCAATCAGTCGTAGGTATGCTAAAAAACAGCTGCTGATCAGCTGGTGGACACGGTGGAGAAGTGGCATCCAGCCCCCATTCACTGCCACTGCCTTTCTCTGCTCTGCTATGCCTATGGACTGCAGGCCCCTCCGAACACACAGACCGGACCTCCAATCGGTGAGTAATGTATCCACGTCTCCCTTCAGCTGTAACTGGGATGTATGAGTGTGGGAGCCCCATAGAGGGGCTGTCAGACTTTAGTACAACGCGATTAACCACTAGTTAGCTGTGGTCTGCTACACTGGTGGATGGACCTGGATCAGCTCAGAACCGCAGCGTTTCTACTCCACTGATTTTGACGGGGAGTATAAGATGCTGATTGACAATTAAGAGCTGCTTCGTTTGGTGGCAGCAGAATAAAGTGGAGGATTTCTTGCAGGCTGAGTGTTTAGCCGCAGGTAGCAGCTGCAGTCAGACACGACTCACATCTAAAGCACCTCAGATCTGCAAAATGAAACACTCTTGTAACAACTATAGGTAATAAAAAATATATATATTTTGTTACCATATGAAAACACGTTTCATATGATTTAATTCCATCTGAATCAGTTAAACACCGCTGGGCTTAACCTAAAACACTTTTAGCAATTCTACTTCTCAATGATTTGAGAAATTCAGAAAATTCACCAAATACAACATAAGACCAATGCTGCAGAATGATGAAAATATAATTTATTTCCCTCTGAGTCAAAATTTCAACAGAAGCTGTTCATGCTGTACACACGCAAACAAAAAATACTATTAAAAATATGGGTGGAAACTGACAAAAAAGAAAAGAAAATCCAGCAGGGAAAATATGAGGGATGACATGCCGATCTGGATCAGGCCATAGAATTCCTTTAACTTCACAGGTGATATCTTGGGGGCAATGAAGCCTTCCTCTTCCTCTACCTCCACCTCGGCCTCGACCTCTGGCATAGCCCCTGCTTCTACCTCTTTCTTTACCTCCTTCTCCTTCTCTTTGGCTCCATCCGAATTGCCAAGTAGATCGCAGAGTAGGTCATAGGCTGTCGGAAACCTCCTTCGCACCTTAGCTACCTATGGCCCACAATGCATCGCGGACTTCTTCTTCGTTCCATAAAAAAAAAAGACACAACAAGCTAGCACCACCTACATGTACAACACAAACGTGGGCTGGCTGCAGCATCCGCAGCAACAGAGGAGTTGCAATGCAGATTCTTTTAAAATATTAAACACTGATACACTGATTGGGCTAAAATTGTGGCTGAATTGATGTCACTATGCTGAATAAATATCTGGCAAACCATGTATTTACAGTGCCGTGATGAGAAGCTAATGCCGCCAGATCTACGAGTCATTGCATAGACAGAACATGTTTAGATGGCTGGTATTGGGCTAAAAAATCCCGAAAAAAACAAATGAATACACATACCGGTATATATATATATATATATATATATATATATATATATATATATATATATTTTTTTTATGAATGAGCAACTCTGTAGTGTCTTTGCACATTACCAGGGTATGATGTACTTTTCCATACCGGACACCATCTAAACCAGGCCAACCATACTACTTAGTAACGGCTGATTTGCGGTCATACTGCATACTACTATTGAACCCATTACTCAGCAGTATCTACTGCGTACTGCGGTCAGCAGGAGTATGCAGTAGGCCAATTCAAAAACAACCATTGGCTATGACTGGAAGCTGCACAACTCCTGTCTTTCCCAAGGATCACATAGGAGAAAATACCTCAAGTGGATTAAGGGAGTTTCTTGAGTCATTAGATCTACAAAAGAACAAACAGGAGTGTCTGACAACGGACAATGGGGCTAATATTATCAAACTTTTATGTTTGAGAACATTTAAGAATAAAAAAAACATGGGAAAAGATTATTTTGTGGGGGACTATAACTCCTGTCCTGTTCATGTATGGCAGATCCGAATTTATTTTCATAATTTAACTCCTTTCTAACTTCAGTTATAAAAATGCTATTGTTCAGAAGCAGTATTCACTAATAATATGTTCTGTAATTTTTTCTCATGTCTTCATAAATATCGTTATCGCAAATGGCCTTGAAATACCGTGATATTATTTTGAGGCTACATCGCCCACCACTGGTAGATACTGTATGCATGGCTGTTGCTGGGTCTGAGGTCTGTAAATAAACACTGTATCATCACATGAAGTCTGTAGACCCAATAAGCCTTGAAAGACGTATCAATTAAGACAGCCTGAACCCTGATGTAGTTGCCCCTCAGTGGCTTTGGTTAATGTCAGAAGGTGAAATCAAGTCACTACATACACTAGAATTGATATATCTAACAGATTTCTCAATAACAGCCAGACATTTTTATCTGTGCAGCCAGTCATGAGCACATGCTAAAAGAAATTTAACAACACTAAACACTCTGGTCCTGCTTTAATTTAAAGTCTATGCAGTGATTAAAAGGTTGAGTGGAAATCTTACCACCCCCAAACCTCAGGGAGCCTGAACCCCTCTAAATACTCCTAAATCCCAAAAAAGGCAACTTGAGCATCAATGAGCTGTCAAAGCTTACTTTTATCCCTGAGCTGTGAAACATGTTTTACAGCGTCAGGCAGTGATTTAGTTGCAGTAAAATTTAACGGTTGTACTAATTAGACTACTTAGACTAATAATAATGTGTAATGTTACATGACCAGGGTCATAAATTTAATTACACTAGCCTTCGCTGAAGAACTGAGCCTTCAGACATAAATCCTATTAGACTTCAATCGCCTGGGAACCTTTAGCCTTCTCTCATTCTGCATTGAAAAATACTGTTGCAATCCTGATTAATTGTCAAAACCGAACTAGAGGCCAAATAGTTGTAAATCAGAGAGAATAAAAAAACAAAAAACAAAATCTGAATTCAAATGGTAGATAAAAGTCAGATTGCTGATGGAGGAAGAAGAGGAGAGGAATCCTTATAACAGCCAATCTGAGGGGTCTGAAAACTGCACACACAGGCACACATGAACACATCTGAGCTCTAATATGGGGATTGTTAATTGAAAGAATGAGTTTGATGCTGGTGTGATAGATGTGAAGCACAGAGCAGAAGGCAGACCTAATCACTTCGGCCCTAAATGGATTCATTATGGCGAGGCCGGCGGGGCTGACATGCTGCTTCCACAGTGCAGAGAGAGGCAGAGGGTTAGGTGAGGGGGGTTGATTAGGAGGCTAATATGGCACAATGACAGCAATAAAACCGGCTCTTTCTTTATGACAGGACATTAAACTGAGCTGTTTGAGATGTACATAGAGGAAAAGACTTTAAGGACAGGTTTTATGCAGTCCCATCAGCATGTCCTGGTGATGTAATAACAGATAAAGCTGATGAAAGACTCATTTTACTGTGAAGGGTCTCAGCTTCCTGGGGTCTTGTTACTCAAGTAGACAGCCACAAACAGAGACCATATGTATGAAATCAATGAATGATTTATTGAATTTCAAAATTAGACAGCACTTATTTGAACAATTAGGCCTTAGGTCATTCATCTGAGTCCAGTTTTTTTAGCTGGGAATGTAAGTGGTGCGCCCATTCCACAGAGGATGTCCCAGGTTGTTTTACTACACCTGACATACTCAGAAACGGCAGCGATGGCAGTTATTAACCAATCTGACTGACTGTGACTGGAAAAATGACACCGTATTTTCCAGCTTTTGTCTGTGTTTCATTGATACAGAAACTCAGTTCTCAGTGTCAAATCCACGATTTATCCAACTTTGGCATAGTCAAACAGCATATTTTATAGAAGTTTGATTAAGTCTCAATCATCACAGTGCCTTAAAAATGAATTAAAAGTCCGTCCAGCATGCCTGTCAGCGTAGGTTCATATAAAGACTTGTAAAAGTGTGATACAGCCCTTTCCACTGTGTAATTGTTCATTCATGTGTGTTCATTGCTCGTTTATTATAAGTAAAATGAATGAAATTCCTCAACAAAGGCCACAGATACCGTGTTTTATTATTGGAGTAAGGATCATTGCTCTATATTAGAGATTTTGTCTCTGAGCAATGAACTTTTCTTACGTTAACAAAGCAGCAGAGACAACATAACGGCTCTGATGGGAGAATCCAGGCAAAATCAGGTGAAACACGGTAGGTTTAAACACAGCACGATGTTGATGCAGTTTTCTGAGCAGCACAGTAAAATATATCGATCACCAGTTTGAAGAGAGAGAGAACTAACTTTTTGACAAAAAGTCCTGACTAAAATTTTTATTGGCTAAAACTAGACTTATTGTAATATCTTGGGGGGGGCTTGTTAGAATCCAGAGTTCAAGGGTGCACAACCTGTTGGTTAATTCCATGCCTTGGTCCATCGGTCTCTCTTCTTTCAATCACAACCGTATCTCCTCAAATAAAAGCCAAAATGACAAAAATAACAACTTTGTCTGGTCAGTGTTTCACACTTACAGATTAACTTTTTTGACCTGTTACAGGTTCAGATCGCCCTGGGGCTGCTTTCTAAAACTATTGTCTCACTGCAGAAAGAAACTAATGGAGTCTTAAATGAAGACAGAGTGGGAAACAGAAAAAGATGGATGAACAGCATGACAGTATGAGGAATGAAGATGCTGTGGGCTCTAATAAATTATTATTATACCAGTTATTAGAAAACATTGTACAGACTCAGCTTATTTTTGCACATGGTCTGCTGTGCAGCTAAAGGCATTAAGACATGTACTCGACAGCATGTTTGTATGAGTGTGTTCATGTTTGCATATGTGCATGCAAAGATGATTGAAGACTTTCTGCAAAGACAGGGCAGGTGTTGAAACTGTGGGGCTGAGTTTGACCCTCTTCTCTCTAAGACTGTTCATGTTCTCAGTGGCGTATTAAATCTGTGGTGTGCTGACTGTGTCAGTGTGCTGAATAAACTCAAGGGAATATGTCGTGAATAAAACAAACACCACATATATATGCAGTCTACTTTTCCCCTGTGGGAGCATGTTTACTGGTCAACCTTGAATACAAATATCAACTGACAAGTTTCACACCAAAATCAAGAATTTTGACTCCGGTTTTTTGTTGTAAAAAGTCAAATTCAGGATATCAGTAAAAACCAATAATCCTAAATAGGGAGCAAAAATAACTGTCAAAAAAAGAACTATGTGGAAATGATGTCTTGCCTTTCCCAAGCAGGTAAAAGCAAAGAGGTAGTGACATCCTGTGGGACAGTGGGCTGTATTTCAGAGCTTTATGAACTCCTGACCTGAACTCTACCAAATCTGACATTACCATTCAGACACATTTCGAGCTAACTTTACTTTTACTTACGCAGTCGCAATTGTTCAGTATTGAAGTGTCACAAGCTCATTTCAGCTGGGCCATAGAGTTATGTCATCTAACATGGACACTAAACTTATTAGCATCTGTTCCTGTTCAAAACAGGAGGTACTGAATGATTTGATAAAATTGTCTTAAAGCTAGGTGTGTTCTTTTTTTTCTTCTTAAAGACTTTAGAGTTGTTAAATAGCTGAGAAGCTTTCATTTAATCTTTACTAACATTGGCTTTCAGTCAACGCATTCCACTTTTACAGCTGATGATAAATAACACCATTAAACAGGAACATTAACTGGGAATCGGCTGATTGCAGATGTTGGATGTCAGCTGTTGTCTTACACTACCTAATGGGATAGTAAATGCAAAGTATATTGAAATATGAAACTTTCCCTTGCTTACTTTTTCGAGTGACTGGCCAAAAAGGAAGCTGAGAAATTATTTTATTTGATCAGATGGTCTGGGTTTACACAATGCTACCTGGAACACAGCACCGTATCAATAGAGTACATATTGGTCTGGAAAAGAAGTATCTCATTCAGCTTTGTATTTGTTCATAAAATGTCCTTCTCACAAAGTTTCACAAGTAGGATTTGTCCCTATAAATCCTTTCCCTACAGGGAATCACTTCACATCATTTCATCCATGGGGGCACTCTTAGAATAGGTGTGTCATGGTTTACCCAGCGTTTTATGATCCTAGGTACTGGTAGTTGTCATGCCTGCCAAGCTACTGTGACATTATTTGTTTGCAATGAATTAGACAATGTGAATTTAAACAGAAAAAAAGCATGATTTAATGACGCTATTTGTAATTTTTCAACCCATCAAGTTGATCCTCAACCTACATGTGGAAAATCTATGTTTACCTGGCCTTGCGGAAAATCAGTGGACAACAGGGAAGTGACCCTCTTCTTCCTCACACAAGGATGACCAATCAGACCTCCTCTACCTTGAAGAGTCAGTCTTAACAATAAGGCTCATAGTTAGAGGTGGTTAAGGTCTGGACCAGCTCTTAGTTATGCTGCTATAGGTTAAGGGGTACTGACACTTTGAGCAGCTTTCTGTCTCTGTTAGTAACTTTAAGTCATCATGTCCCATTAGAGTCACTAATACTCAGTCTTTTGTGAGAGTCTCTGAGCTCCATCATCCTGTAGGTTCCTCTGGATCGCTGTTGCAGACGTCCTGCTGCTGTGCACCTGACTGCTTTAGCTGTCTCTTGCTGTATCTCCCTCCTTTCTCTCTCTTATTAGTCTCAAATAAAACACTGATTGCAATCAAAACGATGGTCAGTTCACAGTGACCATCTGAGTAAATAATAGAATATGTTATATGATTGAAGAACATGCTATAAACATGTTGATTATCCCCACTCTCTCCTCAGTAATCACAGGGTATTATACTCCTCGGTTTAGCACTAAAAAGCACTGGTAGACTCACTGAGCACCAATCAGGATCTGCAGCTTTTGTGCTGCATTCAAAGGCTCTCATTGCTACCACCCTGGATCAGAGCGCTCTAATTTCCAAGGGCTAATAACCACTTGGCTATGTGGCTGAGTGTCACAGCTTTTTATGAGTCTTTATACATTTATCTAACAGGGTGTTTTCATCATTCTGTGGAAATGGAACCGCTCTAAAGATGTGTTTGCTGGTTCCCCAGTTGATGGTGATTTTCTGACTGTAGTATTACTGATTTACCCCACCCCAGAGCCACAGCAGATACAGTCAGCTGTGCATATGGATCATGAAACATTTCATTTACACAACACTTCTCAAAAGTTAGTCTTACAAAGTGATGTTTCCAAAAGCAAGAAGGAGGAAATGAAAGCAGCCAAAAATCAAACAAACCCAAAGTCCATTAAAGTCTCAATAAATTTAACCACTGAGACAAAATTACAGAAGAGCATTAAAAATCTTGAAAGACCAAAACTGAGTGACAGTGTTTTTTTTGTTTTTTTTTTTCTCAGAGAGGTTTTATGAGTCAGTATGTTTGGGTGCTGCCTCTTATCTTATCTTCTGAGATGTCTCACAGGTACTCATGCAGATAATTGCAGAGGTGTGGCATCTGTCTGCTCAACATCAATCTCTCCTCCAAGAAACTACAGGCTTACTGTCAGACATCAGCTGTTTCAGTATTTCATTTTTAGATTTGCTTTTCTTCAGTCAGAGCTGACTCACGTGTAGATTGCCTTTTCATGGCATGGGTTCAAGAGTGTAATAATTCAGTACAGATAATAGGGATGCAACAATCATGCAAAATCTAGAGCGTGTGCACTTGGGCTACATTTATTCAGGTCAAACTCAGCTTTTAACCATATCAGTGTGAATCCAACTTTGAGAGGCTCACTTAAGTGCATTTTAAAGTCAATTAATCAATCAGTCAATCTTTATTTAACCCTAAAACAGCCAGGAGTGGAAAAGAAGTCACAAAAAATAATTTAATGTTACCACTCATCTCTTTAAGCCCTAAGAATAATATTTCCACATGCAAAATATATATTGATTCAATATTTTTGATTTTATGAGTCGTATCTCCCAGGATGCGTTGCCCTATTTAGGTACAAACAGAGCCTATGTAATAAAAATATTAATGTTTAATTTGATGAAGATAAATTATACATTTTCTATTACTTGTTCATGTACATTACACATAGGACTTTTAAGGTTGATTTTATTCATTTTTACCAATCCAGTTGAATAATCTAATTTTGAGGCAATCTCTTTAAAGAGTGTCAAAAAAGTACAACGGAAAATATCATGGGGAACATATTGAACTTTTTGTGCATTGAACATTACACAAAACAATGCAGCAATTTCATTTTCTCAAAGGATACATACAAAACTGAACACTGGGGAAATTTCTTGGGTCCAAGTTTTCTATACTGGTGAGAACTCTATGATCAATGCCCCTCATTTCCCCTCTATATTTCATTTTTTATGGAACGCTTGGAAGCAGTTGCGTGGGTTTTTCCCAGTGATGATGCACAGACGAACACCACATTTTGTGCAATAGATTTTTGCCCTTCTGGGCAAAACCTGCACCTTCCCTTGTCGGTGAAAGCTGGGAAGTGATCCACTTGATCGTGGCGGACATCAGCCGTGGGTCTTGGGGTTGTTGGCCTTTGTATGCATCTGGTGGGGCTGTGCACATTCTCCTCCCCTCGTTTGGAAGGCCTTCCCTTCTTCTTTCCACTGTGGATAAGGGCATCTGCAACCTCCAGCCTGAATTTTTTTAGCTTTTTGTGCTTTTGAACACCAATGCTTTTGGCATCTCAGCGATACAGCAGCCATCCATCGTTGATGGCTATAGCAGCCATTTGCCAAAAGAGGCACAGGTACCAGAAACGTCTGACTTCCTTAACAGGGCTTATTGCAGCACAGGAGCTAGCTAAGGTGACAACTTTGTTGTCAGATCATTTTACAGCAGCCACTTCTGCTTCATTATCCATCCAATAGTCATAGCTGCCCCTTCCTTGCCTCAGCAGACCACGGTCATCCTCAAGTGTGCATCCTTTAAGCCTGTTCTTGCGGATGGTTCCCAGGCTTCGCAAACCAAGGGACTCCTTCAGATGCACAATGAGTGGGAGGGAGGTGAAAAAATTGTCAAAGAAGACAACACAATCTAATGGGTTCTTGATGGTTTTGCAGAGTTGAATGACAACATTGGCTCCAACTCCAAGGTCTTTGACTGGACCTTGACCTGTGCCAAATGTGCTCTTTCCAGTGTATGTCAGGAAGTCATACACCATCCCAGAAATGCCTGCTCTAACAAAGATCTTGAAGCCCCAGTGGTGAGGTTTGCTCGGGAGATACTGTCGGAGAGACCCAGCCTTTGTTCCCTTGTAAGGGACTATCATTTCATCTATTGAGAACATGTTCTCACTCTCAATCTCCAGACACTTCTTCATGTGCTCCAGCACTGGTGTCACTTTGCAGAGCCGATCTTGGGATGGGTCTGATGTCTGATCATTGTCTAATGTCTAATTATTCACATGCTTTCCAGTTTGGAACAACATTCTGAATAATTCACATTGACCAAATTTTTACCCCTAATCTGGCAATGTATCTCAGGGGATACATATCTTTCAAAAGCTGATAACTAACATCACAAACACAGTTGGAACATTTTCTCTTCATCTGAATGTTAAGACAAATGTCCTAATAAATTTCAGGACTTTAAATTGTTGTTTCATAAAAAATAAGTATGACTTATAAATGATTTCCAACCCCAAGGGAAGCAGGTTTCCAACCACTGGCGGCCATGATGTTTTCTGATCAGGCTGACGAAATGATGTAAGATAGCTTGAACCAAATCATGTGATGTAGATGCTGATGACAGACAAAACTTTTGATAAATGCTAAATTGATCAGTGAAAACCTTTCACCATTACCCCTACAGGATGTTGAAGAGTGTGTATCTCCTGGTGCACGTTGCTTGTTTTAGGGTTAAATAGTGCCAATTCACTATCTGTTCTTTAAAGAGTATTATCCCAACACTCTTTACAAAACAGCTGGTCCAGATGAGACTTTATTTACAAAGATATATATATATATATATATATATATATATATATATATATATATATATATGTATATGTGTGTGTGTGTGTGTGTGTGTGTGTGTATATGTCAGTGGCCGCTGCTGGTCTTTCCAGGAGGGGAAGCTCATTTTTCTGGCCTACATCATAATTGTGTTTGTTTATTTGTATGTAACAGAACAGAGTCGCCAAACACAATGGCAGTCATTTTTAACAAAGACAAAAGTCGCTGAGGATCGGTAAAGTCTCTGGAGCAGTTAAGAACAACAGAATGAATAACTTGGAAAATGCTCTGGTAGATGTTTTATTCTTCAAGATCGCTGATTCGCTTGTTTAGCTGTCAATCAAAAAAGGATTTCGCCTCAGACAGCTCATCCAATCATGGAAGCAGAAGCTCAGCGTCCGCGAGAAAGTTGGGACCGCCCTCTCGTCATAGAACTCCAGAGAAGCTCAGCGTCCGATGGGTGGGACAAAGCCCAGCATTTATCCAATGAGCGTCTAGTTTCGCTGCTGGAACAACCCACTTTGAGCTTCCTCATTGAAGTCAGCAGAAGCTGAGCGTCCTGCTGTGTGAAGTGCTGAAGCGCTGCGAGGATGAATGAGAACGAAGTTGAACCGGTTACCTGTGATTATCAGCTTCTTATCACAGTGTGATAAGAAGCTGATTCTGAACAAAAGATGAAGGCTTTCTAGCGCATATTTAGTTAATGAAATGTACACACAGCAGTACGTATTTCACCACTTTTTCCTTTTTTTGGGGGGGTGAAATTTTAAGGGAAGCTGAGCTTCCCTTGCAGTCTTAGAGCAATCGCCACTGATATATATATAGTATAAAAAAATTTAAAAAGACCGAATTACTCCTCATTTCTGGCCAAGATTAGAATCTGTTTTTATAACAGATAATAATGTCTGTCTGCAGATGCAGGAAACCACACACACACACACACACACACACACTTTGGTGAACACTTTGGGCTCTATTTTCGTGTACGCCGGTGAGGTGGCGGAGGATGACGGACCCCGCGCAGTTCTACTTTCGTCTGGCGAAGCCCAGCATATTTTCGTGGACTTTACTTTTGTCTCCCTCCTTTTCTTTCTTCCTTTTACTCTTATTTCTCACGCAGCTCGATCTGGACATGTCTCCGTGTCCTCTCTCCATCCTGCTGCTGCAGCGGCTGAACAGATTTGTTTCAGTGATCAGATGAGTTATTTACTTTAAGCTTATATACGGATATTATAATATTCAGTTTTGTGAGCCAAATTTATTTTATATGCCAACATCTATGCAAGAAAGAGCCAGAGTTTATGTTGTGATCTGTGCGCTCAACCCACCTTTGTCAAGTGAGGTTTGAATATATGCAACTTTATGTGAGTGTCTTTATTTGTGGAAAAGGGTGTTTGTCTTACCAGTGGGTCCAACATTACACACACCAAATCCATCTGTGCTCAGATGAGCGAGTGTGGAGGACGCCCAATGCAGCGCTTACAGTGACACTTGTTGAGGAGCTGCCTTCTGTCGCCATCATGTGACATTACGGTCTTCAGACATCTCTTAATCTCTTTGACTACTTCACGAAAATAGTAATACGCCTTGCCGGTGGCGGATTTAAAGGCAAGGAGAGGAGCTTATGTGATTGGTGAAAACAGGTCTCGGCTGTGTTAAATCCACTCCACGCCCTCCCTCCTCCCTTGCTATGACTTATGCTGCTGGGAGGAGCTGAGTTAGGGAGGGTGGATACTTACGCTGGGCTGTGCCTCTCACCAAAAAACCAAATTGTGCTTGGGAACGCCTTGTCGGCGCAGCGGACCTGATTTACACCGCGCCTGTGGCACGTCTCCGGCGAGGCACGAAAATAGAGCCCCGTATGTTAAGACATTATCAGTCAAATCACAAAGACAGACCAAAAAAAGGGGAGGAAACCCATTACTTCACGTGCTTGATCTTTCTGCTGATCTGCACAGACAATTAGCATAAACTTTATCAACCCTATTTATCATGAAGCACACATTTTGTTAATACCCTGTTATCAGCATGCGTGGTTTGATTTGTCAACACATTTTCATCTGTCTCTAATAATGCTCATGCAGCCATGGTAATGACTTACAGAGGCCTCTCAGCGGAGCAGAGCCATTTCTCTGGTGAAATGCACCGATAAAATTTACAAAGTGAGCCATAATGGATGAGTAGTTTTTACTAGGTGATTAGACTAATGTGCTTTTAATTGGCAGGAGTGAGCTTCTTTTGTTGAGGTATGCAAAATCAGTGCAGTAAAGAAGACAGGAGGTGTCGAGCATTTTTCAGACAAATAATGGAAAGACAGCAAGCAAAACCTACAAGTAAACTCATCACTGTGGTTCCTTGATGTCCATTATTTCTTAGTGCTGCTTTGTCTAAACACACCCTCTCACAGCATCCTTTATTGAGCCTAAAAATGCCCTTCATTGCTTCTTTTTTTAACAGGTAACCACATCAAACACAACACACAACCTCTTATTTTCTCTTCACTTTCTGCCCAAAGTAGTCCATACAGTCTGAATTTAAGTGCTACCAGCTTAACATGCACTTTGCCAAATCAGTAAGCCTAATCTTGTTTGCTCTAAAGTGGCATGTGAAGCCATTACGTTACAGTTATTAGCGTGATTAAAGGTATATGGGAACAGCTGCCCCTAGCCCATGCATGAGAAACACTGCTTCTGTTCAGATAACATTTTTCCATTAAAAAGATGTCCCCTGAAAAGACTATAAAAACTGATTAAAAACAGTTTTTTTGGTTTGCTCCAAACAGTTACCCCAATTTAAGGTGACCAGATTGCTGTAATGAAATCCGGGGACATTCGGTGGGGGGGGAGCATGGGCTGAGTGATCACAGACAACATCTCGGCACTATTTAGTAGCAGCACACGCCCCTTGTAATAACCCCTGTAAAAACTGTTGTTCAGGACTGCTTACTTGTGCTTCCTACCCATTTGGCTACTGTAATAATGGTTGTTCTAACCCACACACAACATTTTTGTTCTCATTCATAAAACGCTTAAATTGGGGATATTTTCGGGGACAGCTTTTGCTGGGGACAGGTCAACCAATGCGGGGACTGTCCCCGGAAATCGGGGACATCTGGTCAGCTTACCCCAATTATGTTCTTAGTAATTTACCAACTATGTCAACATCCAATGATTCTTTCTCCCATCCAGTAGATCTGTCGCATAATGCCAGTATTGACAATTACCATCTTGGGACTCTAGCTTCTATTTTCCATGCAGTTTGATTACCTCTACATATATGGGATTACAAGAGTGTCAAACCAGTCCTTGTCTGTCACCAAAATAGGAGTGAGGATGGAGCTTGGAAGACTTTGTCCTGGGAAGGCAGCTGGTCCAGGTGGTATGTGTCCAAGGCTGCTTAGAGACGGTGCTGCAGAACTGTGTCAACCTCTCCATAAGATCTTCAACCTGAGTTGACAGCTGTGGAAGGCACCTACTCTGTGGAAAACATCCTGCATTGTGCCAGTACCAAAAACAAAATGTCCTGCTGAACTCAATGACTACAGACCAGTGGCCCTCACTTCACACATCATGAAGACCCTGGAGCGGCTGATTCTACACCTTCTGGGGTCTGAAGTCAAAGACAAACTGGATTCCCTGCAGTTTGCATACAAAGAACACATTGGATGATGCTGTCCTCTACATGCTTCACCGTGTCCTGTCTCATCTGGAAGAACCTGGGGTTTATGTGAGGATCATGTTCTTCGAATTTTCAAGTGCATTCAACACCATCCAACCCACCATACTCAAAGACAAGCTCACAGAGATGGGAGTGGATCCTGCCTGTGTTTCCTGGATCACAAATTACCTGACAGGAAGGCCACAGTTTGTCAGGCTTGGGAACTGTGTTTCTGGGACATTAATGAGCAGTACAGGGGCTCCACAAGGGACAGTGCTGATGCCATTCCTGTTCTCACTGTACACATCAGACTTCAAATACAGTACTGAGTCCTGCCACATCCAAAAATACTCAGATGACACCACTATAGTGGCATGTATCAGAAATGGACAAGAAGCTGAATACAGAGATCTGATAAGAGCCTTCAGTGACTGGAGTCACAAAAAGTGCCTCCTCCTCAACACATCAAAGACACAGGTGATGGTCATAGACTTCCATAGATCAAAACCCCCTCTTCAGCCAGTGGAGTGGACATTGAAGTGATGACATCATAAAAATACCTAGATAATGAGTTGGACTGGTCTAAGAATATACATCTAGAGAAAGGGGCAGAGCCGCCTCTTTTGCCTGAGAAGACTCTGATCAATAGACATCTGTAGTAAGACGCTGCAGATGTTTTATCAGTCTGTGGTGTCTACAGTTTTCTGTT